CATCTACCCAGCCGTGACAGGACAGGCACCACGCTGCTCCCCATCCCCAGAGCTGCTCTGCAAGGTGAGTCGGATGAACCTAACTCCCCCCAGGCGCCAGCTGGCTTCTTACAGGGGAGCCTGGGCTTTGCAAGCCTGTGACGCTAACTCCGCTGAAGTGCATGCAGGACCCTGAGTCATGCTAAACCAGTCTAGCACGTGAGACTAGGCGACTCTTCAGCTCTCACCCACGTGCTGCTAAACTCTGCCTTGTCTCAGGCTGTGCCGTGTGGCAGTGGCTGCATAGAGATTCTCTTTGTCCTACGAGTATTTCATCCTCACAGGCATGGAGAAAGGCCTGGCCTTTCACTGCGTAGCTGTTCTCCCCCCACGCCTAAGCTGGGACCAGGTGTGCTGGGTTTACTAGGTGGTTGCCTGTGCTGCTGCTGCTTGAGTCATGCTGTTGCACGACAGAAGCAGAAATCTTCAGCTGAAGAATAATTTCTAAAGCTGCATCTTGGACAAGGGTGGGCAAAAGGGCCTTTGCGGGCCGGAGCCAGCCAGCCCGCCAAGCCGGTAGATCCAGCCCATGGAGGCCCTGCTGCTTCCCCGGCCAATTAGGATCTGGGGGCGGAGGAGTGTGCGAAGCCGCCTCCGCTCTGCCAGGAGCACATGGTGCTTTGAAGCGCCACGCGCTGCTCACAGGAGCTGGGAGAGCGGAGGAGATTTGCATGTTTCCCTGCCCAGCCCTAATTGGCCTAGGGGCAGGGGAGCCAGAGAAGTCGCCTCCCATTCCAGGGGCATGGGCACCTTGGGGGAATGTGGGGTGGGGGCAAAGGCACTCCCTCACCCCCAGACCAAACATTGTCTGGGAGTAAGGAACCCGGAAATATCTTGGCCATGCCCCTTCTGCTCGATACTCCACCCCTTCCGCTCAATGCCCTCCCCCTTCCTGTGCAGCCTGGGGCCACTTCAAAAACTTCTGAAGTGGCCCCAGGCAAAAAATTATTGCCCACCCCTGCTCTTGGAGCTGAATACACAGATCATTGTTCAAGGGATTGGATCTCCGGGCTGAACAAAGCCCTTCCTCCATTTTTCACATACAATCTATAGTGTGACAAGAGACCAGCTAAGAAAACAATATGCAGTAATTCTCCTTAACACAAGAGAAAATACGGACACCTCTGTATTCCTGGCATCACGGCTGTATCAGTATAACAAGGTGCAGAGTATTTAACCATCCATTTTGCAGGCTGCTACATTTTGTTATTTACTTGCTTTGGAAAAGACAATCTATTTTCTCCTATAACTAAATTATATATAGCACATGGATTTCCCAGTAGGATAGCCTGTGCACTATTAATCAGAGAGGAAAATGAATTTATATATCAAAATTAATAACTGAAATTAAGTACGGAGGTGAAAACAGCTGCTATAATTTCTGATGAGCACATTTATTTTACATTCGCCTACATAAGTATTTAAAGGACTCAAATAATGGTATCCAGATATTATAGATGTAAGCAGAAGTGAATGTAAATGGGTGCACCCAGGTGCTCAGCTCTGGCAAGAGCTGTCTGAGCTGCTGCAGGAGCCAGCAGGTAGCTATTTAAAGAGCTGGCAGGGACTTGATCGCAGTCGGACAGTGCCTGTAAGAAATGTTAACTTACTTTCACTACTGGGTATAAGTAGGATCTGAAGGAATACTTCCCTGACAGCTAGCTGGAATGGGAGAGAAACCCTGGGTGTGTCTATGTAAATACAGTTTGCTCCTGCTTTGCTTAGGTTTGTTAGATATTCAACAGATGGAGTGATATTTTGATCATTGTAATCAACTTAATTTGTGTCCGAACACCAACTATGTTTGTATTAAATGCAGGGATCATAGAATACTAGGACTGTAAGGGACCTCGAGAGGTCAGGGGATAGGTAAAATATGTTTATAATTTTGTGGAAATACAGAAAAGCAGCACGTTTCTAAATTATTCCAAATGCAAAGGCTCACCATTAGCAAAAAGAACCTTGCTAAGCAGGGGCTCAATTTTCACCCCCCTCTATAGGAGATAGGGAAGATTAGCTTAGTTTAGATCTAATTGAATTGGGAGACTATACCCCCTTTCCTGCCATGAGGGCAGGGGACTGGACTCGATGACCTCGAGGTCCCTTCCAGTCCTAGTATTCTATGATTTGACCTGTTCTCTCTTCCCATTCTCTACATGCATACTCTGTTAGAAGAATCTGTATTTTTATGATAATGATGTTGGAGTTGTTTCTCCTGCTTTCCTTGCTAAGGCCTTGTCTGCACTAAAAGGAAGATCACTTCAGCTCTATGTCAGTTGTATATCTTATGTCAAGTTGCTGGGCTTAGTATAGACCTGGCCTAAGAGTTTAATAGGTAGCAGCTTTAAAATAAACCCAAGGAAGGTTTCCTCAGGCAACACACAGCCAACCTGTGGAACTCCTTGCCAGAGGATTGTGAAGCCCAAGACTATCGGGGTTAAACAAGTAGCACGTTTACACTCCTGTAGGCTAGGCCCCAGTGGCTCGGAGGGGGATGGGCGGGGGGTAGCCCGCCTGTGTGAGCAAGGGGCTGGGTCACTGGTTACTCCTGGGGGGCTGGGCTCAAGGCACTGGGGAGGGCGGGGCTGCTGGAGCTGCGCCCTGCACTGGGCCCCCTGCAGGGGAAGCAGCAGGCAGGACCCCCAGGCCCCGCCCCCTCCTCCTACCCCAATGAGAGAGAGACTGGGGGGGTTAACGGCCCCGCCCCCTCGCCCAATGAGGGCGGGCTGAGCAGGGGGCTCGCGGCAGCTTTAGCGCGCCTCAGCCGAGGGTTAGTGGGGTCCTGATGTAAGGCCCCCGCGGGGCTGCCCACCGCGCTGCCTGTAGCGCCGAGCGGGCCCCTCCCCGGAGAACGCGGGCCGCCGTGTGA